ATTACAAGGAAGATTAACTGAATTAGAAGCAAAATCAGAGGAAGATTTATTCAAGTCAATCTGATTATTACAGGAAACAAGTAATGATGAATCATGAAATGAAGATTTGTCTAAAATGTACAAGTTCCCAACCACTTTACCAACTGCTAATACTACTTCAGTCTGAAGGTCCTGCAATATACATTTGTCAGGATAAAACTCAAATTTAAGTTCTGCAGTCTTTGAAAGTTTATTTACTGAAAGTAGGTTATATTTGAAACTAGGAACACAAAGGGCATCAGTCAAAGTTAATTTGGGTGTAAGGGATACATCACCTATATGGTGTACAAGTTTAACAAAACCATTTGGTAAGAAAACTTGAGTGATTTGAGTTACTGGTTTTGGTTTACGAATTAATTTGTTATCAATGCACATGTGATTTGATGCACCCGTGTCCACTATCCATGTTCCACAGTCCAAATTATCAAATGAATGCAAAGCAAAATGAAAAGCACAAGTAGGATTGTTACCTTCTAAGTCACCAATGTGTGCAAAATTTACAAGGTTGTTGTCAATCCTAGCCTTCCCCTTCATCATCTTTGATAGCTCCAGCTGAATCATTTCTGCCAAAGATAAATTCTGATATGTTGCCTTGCTAACAGCTTGATCCATGTTTGCATCCAAAGGATTATCAGCCATATTAGCCACATTTCTTCCTCCTGTCATTTTGTTCCTTTGTTCCTTAAGTTCTTTATACCACTCAGGATATCCATGCAACTTGAAGCAGGTATCCTTAGTGTGGCCTCCCATGTTACAATGATCACAATGCAACTTTTCATACTTCTCATTCTTCTTATCATTATGATTCTTATAAAAATTAGATCTCTTATTATTTCCCCTTCCAACATTAGATCATTTTCCCATAGGTGCTCTCACAAACATTGTTGAGTTCTCTGCATTCTCAGTCATGGTAACTTGTACCTCTTTCTGTTTCTCCACTCGTAAAATCATAGAGTATGCCTTGTTAACTAAAGGCAAAGGTTCCATCACCAAGATCTGGTTTCTAACATTATCAAATCTATCATTGAGGCCCATTAAAAACTGCATTAACCTGTTAGAACAAGCTAGATCTGAAACAGTCTTTGCAACTCCACAAGTGCAGTTTCTACATGTGCATTGTGGTGTTGGCAACAAGCAAGCCAATGCATCCCACAACTTCTTCAGCTTCGTGTAATACTTTGCTACTGATTGATTTCCCTGAGAAATAGTGCTTATTTCTCGTTGGATCTAATAGATTTGTGGTCCATTTGACTCTCCAAACCTCTCCTCTAATTCAATCCAAAGTTCCCTAGCAGTTGAAGCATAAAGAAAGGCTTCTACTATTTCTTTGGAAATAGAGTTCAAGATTCATGATCTAACCATACAATCCACACAAATCCATTGTTCAAAATCAGGAGACTCTTCATCAGGCATAGCACACTTTCCATTGATAAATCCAAGCTTCACCTTAGCTCTTAGAGCTATCTTAATCGATCTACTCCAAGACAAATAGTTATTACCTATTAAAGGAGTCGTAACAAGTTGCATCCCTAGATGATCTGAATTCTGCAGTTGCATTGGATATCCATTGGTGATGCTCCCTGTTTCTTTGTGCACCGTCGCATTTCCAGCTTGAGGTGCAACCAAGATCGCAGGTTCTTCAATCTCCTCCATATTCTAGTAAATCCATGATCGATTTCTGCAAGTAAATCTTCAACGTGTTACCAAAACGAAAAGAAAAGCAAATCTGGATCGATTTGCTCTGAAACGATGTGAAAATCCAAGCATGAAGAAAATTCCAGAAGATAGAGGAAAAAATTCTCTATATTACTTCAACTAAATTGTACAAAGTGCAAGAATACTATTTATACAAGAAATGAACCTATAGAAAGCTGCCACGTAATGATTCCAGCTCAGCTATCCTACTAACAAACTAACTTGTATAACAGACTAACAGCTACTAATAGCCGTAACAAACTTGATAACTGCTCAATAATAAATAATATATATTCTGCACAGAGGCTTCGTTGTCACCGCCGAGAGAGAGGGGAAGAAATGGGAGAGCAGAACAATGTCCGTCACGAACAGAAATTGTTCTGTTCGGAACTGCTGCAAGGCTTCGTTGTCACCGCCGCTCTGTTCGGAACCACTGCTCACGAATGTCCGTCGACTCCACCGCCGCCCCTCGTCCACCTCTGCTCACGAATGTCCGTTAGGATCTGACGCCACGCCATCGAAACCGCTTGAAATACTGCCGACCTCGCATAGAAGCTCACCGATGATCACCGAGACCGTTTTGGTTTCCAGAACACCACATTGGCAGTTTGTTGCTCACTGAATGTGAAACTTGTATACTGGCACAAGGTTGAACCAGGAGAGAGAGAGAGAGAGAGAGAGAGTCCCTCAGGATCTGACGCCACGCCATCGGAACCTCTTGAAATGCTATGCCGACCTCGCCTCGAAGCTTGCCGGTGATCGTCGAGACCGTTTTGGTTTTCGGAACACCACATTGGCAGTTTGTTGCTTCACTAAATGTGAAACTTGTATCTACGGGGGTTTCAGGGTTGTTTCGTGATAGCAAGAAACATATTGTCATTGATTTTTTCTATACGGTCGATAAGCTAGGGGTTTGCCCATCCGCTCTGATGACGGTTCGGGTACGGGAAGGAAGCTTCTTGCATGAGAATGTCGCCGACTTGCAGATGATAGGCGACTTGAATGGTTATAAGAAGGGTTAGTTTGCTATTTTTTAAAATAATAACAGTCACGTGATACATATTTGAATGGTTTATGAGTTAATGGTAGGAGAAGTATTAGTAAATTGTCATAAACAGTCATGTTAGCGTTAGTCAATTTTTAAAGAGTAAGGGTACTCAATTAACTAAACCATAAGCATAGTTTAACAAATTTACCCTTAAAATAAATTAAATAAATTAGTATAATAAATTAAACAATAAATAATATATATGGGCCATGTTATGTGGGCCACGGACCTAAAATCCCAAGTCCAGCATGACCCATACAATCGTGTCGAGCTTGGCATGGCCCGGTTTACACCTCTAAGCCCATTGCAGAATTCTGAAATTACAGCTAGAGGTGTAAATCGAGCTATGCCAGGTCCGACACGATGGTCTGGGCCGTGCTGGGCCTGAGGTTGTAGGACCGCGGGCCAGGTTGGCACGATCCATACATATTATTTATATATTTATATATATATATATATAATATTATATTATATAAATTATAATTATATAATTATATAATAATATATAGTATATAATATATTAATAAAATAAACAATTGTTTTCAATTTTATTATACTAATTTATTTAATTATTGTATATATAAGCAATTATATACATCAAAATTCATATAAAATTAAAATTTTAAGTTTTTTTTTTCAATTTTTTTAAATAAATAGGAAAAAATAACTTTGGTCGGTTCATGGCCTGACCTGGCCCAAGGCTTGGCCCACAGACCAGCCTGGCCCATGACACGGCATGGGCCCGCACGGGCTTGGGCTATGGGCCATGCCGGGCCAACCCCCCAAGTTATCTCAGGGGAGAGTGGCACGGCCCACACTTTGCATAGGTCAGGTGGCCGGTGTCGGGCTGGCATGGCACAACTCATTTTACACCTCTAATTACAACCCCCATAGTCTACTAGTAACCCTCCCCCTATAAACCGCATGCTGCCCGTGAATTTGGCATCAATCCTTGGTCAGGATTCACTCAGATTATTACACCGTAGGGTGGACTAATAATTCTGATGTAAGTTGAACAGTCATTCTCCGTGGTGGGGATATTGAGATATTCCCAACTGTGAGATTGGTGTGAGCTGCCCAGATACGCAACCAATTAGTAGGTTCGGTAGTTATAAACTTCGGTTCAATTTGCAGAAAGTAGAGAGAAGATTAATTGATTCTTCAGGGTATAACTCCACACGGCCTGTGTCTTTAACAAAGCTGAGCTCTGGTCGAACTCCAAGTCTCCAACCCTGAATACATTTGGAATATATCAGAAAAGAGGTCAGTTGTAGGTTTTGGGGATTGCCACAAAACGTGCACATATTGTGCACAACTCACTCAGTGCTTTAAGACAACAACCGTCTACAGTTTTCTTTTGCTTTAGTAGTTAGCTCATTAAACGAGTTACTAAATTCGTTGTTGTCTCGATTCACAGTTCCCAACTTGGAAGAAAGCTTGGTGTAACATCAAGTATCACACTTCTATAATAAGCAAAGGAATTCAATACGGTTAGGCTCACGTTCATTGTTCACCATTAGAGACATGGCTGCAGGCGGAGAAGGTTGGCTGGTTCTCTCTCTATTCTTCTCTGTCTCAACATTGTCTCTACTGCATCTCACCGCTGCCAAAACGACGGCCGGCTTTAGCCTGGAGCTATTGCACAGAGACTCTCCGCTCTCTCCTCTGTATCCAGGAAACCTCACTGAGCTCGAACGACTTCAGAGGCTTGTGAAGATATCTGACGCCCGGGTGCAGTATTTGAAGTCAGCAATGGCGTTTGAAACATCCAATCTAACAACGCATACCAACATCTTCCGTCCTAAGGTGGGAGCTGAAGCTTACCCTTTCCTCTACGTGGTGCGAGTGGGCATCGGCACCCCTTACAAGGGTTTCCAGCTGCTCATGGACACGGGAAGTGAGCTTGTTTGGACTCAGTGCAAGCCTTGCACCTTCTGTTTTCCTCAGAAGTATCCAATGTTCGATCCCAAACAATCTCAATCCTACCAGAAGCTTCCCTGCCAACACCCTCTCTGTAAGAACCTCCAGTGTGTTAATGGTGAATGCATCTACAGAATAGAATATGCAGGTGGGCAATCAACTAAGGGTGTCCTCTCTTCAGAAACCTTCACTTTTCCGTCCAATAATCACTCCCTTGAGGCCAAGAGTGGTATGTTCTTTGGCTGTAGCAATCTGAACCGCAACTTCCAATTCAGCGGTGGGATTGATGGGATATTGGGAATGAATAGAGGCACTCTTTCTTTAGTAACCCAGTTGAGCAACCAGATTAGCCAACGCTTCTCTTACTGTTTAGTAGAATCTGCTCTCTCCATGAAGATTTCCAGCTTTCTAAGGTTTGGCAGCGACATAGTCATCAAAGGAGGAAACGTCCAGACAACCCCATTTGTGCAGTACAGCCAAAACCCGAAATTGTTCGCATTGAATCTGGTAGATATCACTGTAGGGACCCGCCGTATGAACTTCCCGCCGGGAACGTTTACGTCGAAACCTGATGGCACCGGTGGCTGCGTCATTGACTCGGGCTCTGCCTTCACTTACATTGATCAGAAGCCTTACGAAAGTGTGAAGAATGTATTGGTAGATTACTTTGCTCGACTGAAACTAAAGAGGATTAATCAAAGGCCATACACTTTGGATCTCTGTTACACATTGCCGAAAAAATTTTCTGGGCTTCCCAAGTTCATATTCCACTTCCAAGGGGCTGATCTTGAAGTAATACCAGAAAATGCGTTCTTAGTAAGTCAAGCAGGGAAGTTTTTCTGCCTGGCTATGAAGCCAGAGCAGGGACTAACAACGATAGGAGCAATGCAGCAGCAGAACGTGCGGTTCATATACGACGGAAGCAGAAATGCACTTTCCTTCGTTAGTGAGGATTGCTCCAAAGATGTATCTTGATTTTCTTCATGTTTTTGGCTGTGTACTTCGCTCAGAAATTTGTCACCCAAATTTAAGTTGAATAAATTCTGCTCAGAATTCTATCATCAATATTGTGATCTTCTTAATCTTTACGGTCCAACCAAGATAATGTGATATACTGGAAAGGTATGATATCATATTATCAATTTGGTAACATGGTAACATGGTAACATGGGAATTGCCTACAAAAATAGATAATCATTGTCCACCCCTTATCCCAATTATATGCACAGTTGTCCTTTGCGTTATGTATACACACAAGCATGAAGATGATTCATGACTGAGAATAAAAGGGTTTACAAATAATTTATAAAGAAGAGAAAAGAACAAAAAAGAAGGATGAAATAGGATTTCATATATATCATGCAAGAGCAAAAGAGTTTTTTCTTCCTTTCCCTAATTTTATTTTATTATATATAAAAAAAATTATGAAATACTGCCACATGGTTTCACTCTGAGGAGTGGTTTGATTTCTAGGAATAATTAGTAAAAGTTAACAATTTGTTTTAGTGAACAATGTTTAGTGAGCTGAATATGGATCACCAAAGGAGTATAATATGATATTGATACTCCGATTCCTTTAGGGGTGGATACGAAATGAGTTTTTTAGGAGTTATTTGAGCTCATCTTGTGAAAAGCTTGATTTGGCTCCATTTAAGCTAGTTTCGAGCCGAGCTTGAGCCAAATATATAGGCTCATGTGCTTATTGAGCTGAGCTCGATCGAGTCCAGTGAAGCTCATTTAGTGAGGCTTGCAAGCCTAATCGAGCTTATATTATATTATATATACATAATATTTTTATTAAATATAATTATATTTACTTTTTATCTATAAAATAAGAAATAATTTTTATATGTTATAATTTTTATTTTTTATGTGAAGCTTAGACTACATTCAAACTAAAACCACACTAATTTTGAACATATTAGTTTTTGAATCAAGTGAATTTGAGTTCAAACTCGAGGTTCATAAATTTTTGCCAAGCCAAGTTAAAATAGTTGGATATTTGGCTTGGCTTGACTGAGCTTGTATACAACCCTAATTCCTCTACCCCGAGGGGGGTTATATAAGGGAAAATTTCTTAAACTACCCTTATGGTTTAGCTAATTGACTAACTCTACTCTTATTATTCACATACACCCTTATGTTTTCTGACAATTGACTAATTACTCCCCTACTATTAGGGTTCCATCACAATCTGCTCACATGTCACACCACACACGTGATTGTTATATTTTGAATAAAATGGCAGTAATACCCTTTCTCCAAATTTGGAGAAAAAACTCCAGTGGTTGTTAGAGAGAGAAAGAGGTTACTTGGCATCTACTTCTCTCCCTCCCCGCCCCACCTCTCTCTCTCTCTCTCTTGTCTACTTCTCTCAACATGCAAAGATAGTCTCGAGGCTCGCCGGGGTCAAAGCTCCAAAGCCATGATAGAGGAAAAGGAGAGAGGGTCGATGAGGATGACCCAAAGAAAAGGGAAAATGCCGGTATCAGCGGTTGTGTAGTCAACAAAGAAGAGAACAAGGGAAAGAAGCTTCATTGGTTAATGACTTCTGGTGGATCAGATTTGACAGAGATCAGAACTTAGATTGTTCTCCTCTAAATTGACAGAGATCAGATTCTATCAAATCTACAAATATGATCTCTATAAAAAAGAATGAACATAGAGGAGAAGAAGAAATACATGGATGAAGGAGAGTGATCGAATACAAGTCTCGATTGATACAAAGAAATCATCACGGACTGTATGGAGTGAAGCCTCATATGATTGACAACTCAAACCAGAGACAAGATGGAAAACTTAGGTAACGACTAAAGGGAACATAGTCCATGATGCCCTAGTGGAACAAGAATCCATTGCCCCAAAGTTGGACAACCGACTGGATATGCGGGAAAAATGTTGGCTCCAACATAGATATGAAACCTTTGAATTCCTAGAATTTCAGAAAGTTTTATATAACCTATATAGCAGTTGATGACGCGCGATCTAGTAGCTCCTTGCTGGCTGATGACTCAGAAGTTGAGCTGGGGAATTCCTTGCTGGAAGGTGACTTAAATGTCGAGCTAGAAGATAGCTCAGATGTCGAGCTATATAACGGAGAGCTGTGTAATTTTCTGGGAGACCTATAGAGAAACAATGTTAGAGTGCCTGGTTTTATTTACTCGGGGTGGGCACTTCAACCCTTAAGTCAGCGAATTGGAGATTTTTGAGAGAGCTAAAACTGAGAGAGTTAGAGAGTTGTGAATACTAAATTGCACATACATTCTCTCAAGAAAATGGTGCCTTTATATAGGTGTGAGGGATTAGAGACCTCTTGTAACAGGTCCTAAATTCCCGAAGAGCCGCTTCTACTAAGTTAGGAGAGAATATCTCTGTCGGTTAAATAATCTGCGCATAGATATGAGGTCCGTCCGATCAACTTTGTTGCGGATGATGTGGGTAGGTCAACCTAATGGTTGAGCGTTATTACTCTAGAGAACTTGGTCTTGATAACGGATCTATGTAATAGGTCGGTGAGCACGCTTTGTAGGTCGTCACTTATACCCTACTTTGCTCGACTGATCTCCAAAGGAGGTCGTTCCTTAAGCGGAGGTCCTTTAGGTCGGTCAAGCTGAGGTACTTTAGGTCAACCATAGGCGAGGTGCTACTAGTCGACCTGCTATGGTGATCTACTTACTCAATGCTGAGGTGTCACTTGGATGCCACGTGTCATGTTGTTATTTAGAGGTAGGTCGCCAGGTCTCTAGTAGGTCTTTGGAGGTAGGTCACTAGGTCTCTAGTAGGTTTCCAGAGGTAGGTCTATGAGTCAGTGGAGGTAGGTTGCCAGGTCTCCAGTAGGTCTTCGGAGGTAGGTCGCCAGGTCTCCATCATTTTGGCTAAGGCAAGTCATCGCCTACGTGGTGTCGGGGTGTCATCCAGCTGTTCAGAGATGCCACATGTCATGATGTCAGTGGAGGGCCAAATCTGCCCCCAATTACCCTCCACTCCTGAGCTGAGGTCAACTTAGCAAAGGGAGTAGCTTGTTGTAGGTCCTTTGGCCCAGAATGACTAGTTTGATGAGCTCATAAGCGTCGATCCAGGTTTCCAAAGCGGTTATAATTTTAGTTGTCAAAATGACGCTGAGCTAGATAGATGGGGGCTAACCTGCATACGTCGGCCTACCTGTTGCCAATACATTTCAAGGTCGGCTTAGGGGGTGTTGATGCTGAAAGCGGTTTGGCTTCCCCTTAGAGAGCAGTTTGACTAGGTTGCCAAAGTGGATGGTCATTCTGTAGTAGAGCGGCTGCATCTCTGCCATCATGGGGGCAACCTTCTCGAGTATGCATTCACAGGTCAATGCCACACATGTATTGCACCTACTCCTGGAACTGCTGGTCACCTGCTCATACTAGAGCCATGGGCAGCTCACCTTGAGGAATGTTCGACTTGTGAGGCTGGCTTCACATTCACTTAGCTGTCTACTCTCATGGGAGCCATGGAGATTCACTAGTGAGGCTTTGTAGTTGGGCTCGGAGATAATCTAGGCCAAACCGCTGAAGCTTGCTCAAGCTGGTCGTTTAGTTCCTGCCCCCTTTGTGATACATGTGTTGTTGTTGGCATTTGAATAGCGGGTCGATGCCACGGCTGCACTGTGTTAGTCCTCGGAGATGCTAGCCATCTACTCCTACGATAAGCCACGGGGAGATCAACTTGCGGGGGGCATCTCTACTAATTGTAGGTTGCTAACTCGCATTGGAACCTTGAAAAGCTCAACCCACAAGGACGACTGCAGTTCGTTGGCCACTAACTCCCGTGAGAACCACGAAGGGCTCAACCTGTAGGGGCAACCTTGCGAACAGAGTTGGCGAGGCTCATCTAGGATGATTATGTATGTCACAAGTCAGCTCGTTCAGGTCACCAAAGTGAGTCTTAGTCAGGTCATCAAAATTTTAATAGGCCAGTTTGCTCTCAATACCTTGGCCTATAGACACCTTGTCACCTCGGTGGGGTTGACCTGTGAGGGTGGCTCCACAATCTGTTGGCCATCAACTTCCACGTAGATTATGGAGGGCACGACCTACGGGGTGGCCTCATAGTTTGTTGGCTATCAACTCCCATGGAAACCGCAAAGGGCTTGACCTGCGGGGATGGCCTCACATTCTGTTGATCGTTAACTCTTGCAGAGAACATGTAGGGCTTGACTTATGGGGGTGGCCTCACAGTCAAAGAGATTCTTCTGGACAAGACTACGAGAACTTGTCTAGGCTAATCATTCTGATTTTGTCCCCCTTAGGGGTTCCTTCGATCTAGGTGTTGTTGTTGTTGCTTGAAGATGCCATTATTTGAGGCTGAGAGAACATGTGAGAACTTAGCTTTTGTGTAGCGGTTTCCCACAAATGGTGCCAATTGATGACGCACAATCTGGCAACTCCTTGTTGGCAAATGACTCAAAAGCCGAGCTGGAAAATTCCTTGCTGGAAGGTAACTCAGATAACGAGCTGAGTAAAGTCGAGCTAGAAGATAGCTTGGATGTCGAGCTATATAATGGAGAGTTGTGTAATTTTCTAGGAGACCTATAGGGAAACAATATTAGAGTGCCTGTGTTTCTTTACCCGAGGTGGGCATTCCAATGCTTAAGTCAGCGAAATGGAGATTTTGAGAGAGCTAGAAAGCTGCAAGAACTAAATTGTGCATACCTTCTCTTAGGAAAATGGTGCTTTTATATAGGTGTGAGGAATTAGAGACCCCCTGTAATAGGTCCTAGATTCCTAAAGATATGTTTCCACTAAGTTAGGAGAGAATATCTCCGTCGGTCATGTAATCTGCTCATAAATCTAAGGTCGAGCGTTATTACTCTGGAGAACTTGGTCTTGATAACGGATCTATGTAATAGGTCGACGAGCACGCCTTGTAGGTCATCACTTATACCCTACTTAACTCAGCCGATTTCCAAAGGAGGTCGCTCCTTAAGCGGAGGTCCTTTAGGTTGGCTAGACTGAGGTACTTTAGGTCGGCCATAGGCGAGGTGCTACTAGTTGACCTGCTGGGGTGATCTGCTTACTCAATGCCAAGGTGTCACTTGGGTGCCACATGTCATGTTGTTATTCAGAGGTAGGTCGTCATGTCTCCAGTAGGTCTTCGGAGGTAGGTCGCTAGGTCTGCGGAGGTAGGTCGTCAGGTCTCTAGTAGGTCTCCAAAGGTAGGTTGCCAGGTTGGTAGAGGTAGGTTGCCAAGCCTCCAGTTGGTCTCCGGAGGTAGGTCGCCAAGTCGGTAGAGGTAGGTCGCCAGGTCTTCATCATTTTGGCTAAGGCAAGTCATCACCTATGTGATGCCGAGGTGTCATCCAACTATTCTGAGATGCCACGTGTCATGATGTCAGTGGAGGGCCAAATCTACCATCATTAGTAATGAACCCTATATGTAAAGACTAAAGAATTGCAATGGTAATGATATAGGAAATGTACGGACTACATTTGACAGTGGAATACTCAGAGCAAGCTTCATTGTCGCCTGGTAATTTGGTCTCCCCGATGGATTGCAAGAGCTTGCTTTGTATGGGATTCTTTTGTGATTAGAATCCGATCTTTGTACATTAGTTCTTTTCAACTGCTTCCACTTTATTTGGGGTTCACATCTGCGCCCCACAAGGGGGCACCCACAACGTCCCATAGCACATCCCTACTATGTATTGGGAACATCTCCCAATGATAGTACAGAAATGATGATGTCATCATCGGGAGATGTTCCCAATACACAGTAGGGATGTGTTGTGGGACGTTGTGGGGCACCCCCTTGTGGGGCATAGATCTGAACTCCTTTATCTGAGGATGCTTCGGTCATGTCAGAAATTCAATAGAGAATAAGGGATATGTTGGAATCCCGCATATCCCCTTCGGTCACACCGGAAAGCGGAGACAGAGGCGGTGATGGAGATGGGGATAGATGGAGCAATGATCTACTTCTTATTCCTGAAAATTTTCATCAGTTGGATTTTATTTTGATAACTTGAAGAATAATTGAGGGCAAATTCGTCATTTTATTTTTTCCGTTAATAATTGTTAGAAACAGTAAAGGTACATAGAGTGAGTTATGAAATTTGCCCTTTCTAAATTTACAATCAATAAACATATAAAACACTAAAAAAAACATTAATACATCGACCATCCGATTGTATGTTTAATGTGGTCAAGGGTTTTGCCACCATGCATCGGGATACCTAGTCCTGGAGTACTGGTAGTACTAGTAGTCCACAAAGCGCGATCTCCGTGGTGAGTTACAAATCATATGATTCAAAGTCTCATCTCATCATATAAAGATTTCTCCTAAATGAGACCCATCTGACGTAGGTCAATTCCAGGTGTCTCAGATTGCCACAAAATCTACACATGTTGTGGTGTTGTTCATGAAATCATGCTAGCGCAACTAACTAATTTAAGAGAATAACCGTCTGCAGTTCCTTTGGCTTTCCTCATTAATCATTGATTATATTCAACTTGGACAAAAAGCTTGGAATGACGATTAGTATAAGAAAGGAAATTCAATATTGTTCAGTATACTCACCGTTAGACATGGCCGGGGGCAAAGGTTTTCCGGTGCTTTCTTTATTTGTCTACGTCTTCACATTGTCCCTACTGCAATATTCCACCATTGCCAAGACGACCGGCTTCAGCTTGGAGCTACTACATAGAGACTCTCCACTCTCTCCTCTGTACCCAGGAAACCTCACTCGGCTCCAACGACTCCAGAGGCTGGTGAAAATTTCCGACGCTCGGATGAACTATTTGAAGTCTGCAATGGCGATTGAAACATCCAATACAACAGTGCAACCCGACATGATCCGTCCAAAGGTTGGAGCTGACACCTACCCTTTCCTCTATGTGGTGCGAATCGGCATCGGCACCCCCTACAAAGGCTACAACTTGATCATGGACACCGGCAGCGAGCTCATTTGGACTCAGTGCCAGCCCTGCAGCTCCTGTTTTGCTCAGAAAGATCCCATTTTCGACCCCAGACAATCCCAGTCCTACCGCAAGCTTCCCTGCCAACACCCTCTCTGTAAGAACCTTCAATGTGTTAATGGAGAATGCATCTACACAAAACAATATGCAAGTGGGTCATCAACCAAGGGAGTTCTCTCTTCTGAAACCTTCACTTTTCTGTCTAGTAATCAGTCACTTGAGGCCAAAAATGGTTTATACTTTGGTTGTAGTAATCAGAACCTTAACTTCAAGTTTGATGGTGGAATTGATGGGATAGTGGGAATGAACAGAGGCGTCGTTTCCTTGGTAGCTCAGCTGCGTGACCAAATCAATCGACGCTTCTCTTACTGTTTGGTAGAATCTGCTCTCTCAATGAAGGTTACCAGCTATCTAAGGTTCGGCAGCGACATAGTCATCAAGGGTGGAAAATTGCAGAAAACCCCATTTCTGCAATACAAGAAGAACCCAAATATGTTCGCACTGGATCTGGTAGATATCACTGTAGGAACCCACCGTATGAATTTCCAGCCGGGAACGTTTGCGTCGAAACCGGATGGCAGTGGCGGCTGCATCATAGACTCTGGCTCTGCCTTCACTTACATTGATCAGAAGCCTTACGACAGCGTGAAGGGGGCATTGATGGATTATTTTGCGAACCAGAAGCTGAAGAGAATTAACCAGAGGCCTTTGGGTTTAGATCTCTGTTATGTTTTGCCGACTAATTTCAATCTTTTTCCCAACTTTATATTCCACTTCCGAGGAGCTGATCTAGAAGTGATACCAGAGAATGCCTTCTACGTTAGTCGAAAAGACAGGTTTTTCTGCCTAGCGATGAAGCCAGACCAAGGGCTTACAACATTGGGGGCAATGCAGCAACAGAATGTGCGGTTCATATATGATGCAAATAGAAATGCACTCTCCTTTGTTAGCGAGGATTGCTCTAAAGATGTATCTTGAAGTGTTTTTCTTTTTTTTTTTTTTGGAATAAATTTCTGGTTAAATCTGGCATTTGAATGCACAAATTTATGTTTTGGGGGTACTGACGAGAGGTTCATTATCATTTAGGTAAAGAGATTTAAAGCAAAAGGAAATGAGGAATGAGAATAGAAAAGGGGAGCTGACGTGGGGCCTAATTGCTTTATAATATTAAGTATTATCAGACCTGTGTAATCCACGGGCTTTGTTAATCAAGAGTGACTCAATTAAGACTTATAAACAAATTAAAAGAATCAAAATAATGGTTCAATCTATTTGACAACAAAATTAAATTAAATTATAATAAAAATGTCCAAAACAAAGCCAATTGCATAGTTTATAGAAATAATCATAAACAATATAATTCATGAAAAAGAAAGTTAATATAATTCATTAATGTTCACATAAATGATAAAGTCAATTAAGCCCTAAATTATTAAAATAATGTTGAACCATTTTAACTCTCATCACTATTGTTGAGTCTGCAACAAAAAATATTGTAGTCATTGTTTTAAAAATATAAATTAAAATAAATAATTAATTAATGCAGATATAATTAATAAATACATTAATTATTAAAATACCGTTAATTATTAAATACTATTAATTAAAATACAATAGTTATTGAAATTACTGTTAATTATTAAATTAATGTTAATTAAGAATACTGTATTGAAATTACGGTTAACTAATACCATTAATTACTAAATACCGTAATTAATAATACAGTAATTGAAAACACTGTTAATAAAATACTGTATTTATTGAAAATACTGTTAATTAATAATACAGTAATTGATTAAATACTGTTAATTAATAATGTTATTAAAATACTGTAATTATTAATACTGCTTTTTAGTAAACACTGTATTTATTAAAATACTGTTAATCATTAAAATACCATTAATTATTAAAAATACTGTTAATTAATAAATACTGTTAATTAATAATATTGTTTTGAAATTACGGTTAATTAATAATATTATTTACTAAATACTGTAATTAATAATACAGTAATTGAAAATACTGTTAGTTAAGAATACAGTAATTGATTAAATACAGTTAATTAATAATGTAATTAAAATACTATTTTTTAATAAATACTGTATTTATTAAAATACTGTTAATTATTAAATACATTATTTTTAATAATGTTATTGAAAATACTGTTAATTAATAAATACAGTAATTATTAAAATACTGTAATTATTAATATGGTTTTGTAATGGATACTGTTAATTAAATAAATTACTGTAAATTAAAAATACCATTAAATACTGTTATGTTTTTAAAAATACTGTAATTATTTTTAATACTGTTTTTTAACAAATACTTTATTTATTAAAATACTGTTAATTATAATTCTCTAATTATTAAAAATATTGTAATTAATAAATACATTATTTTTAGTAATATTGTTCATACTGTTTTTATTAAAAATACTGTTAATTACTTTTAATTATATTGTTTTTTGTTATATTACTCTTAACCATTATTTTTTGGTAATTTTTTAAAATTACCATAATTTTTAAAATTAATGTTAACAGGTAATTACTGTTAATTATAAAATAACCATTGTTTTTGGTAATTAAATACTGTAATTTTAATTTTGAAAAATAATTAATACTGTAATTTTTTGTTATTTTCTTGGCTAAAACTAATTTATGACAGTTTTTGGTAATTAAATGTAATTTTCTGATAACTACATTCATGTTAATTTAAGTATAATTGGTTAAAACAATGGTTAATAATAATAATTTTAAAAAATTAACTATAACTATGAATTATGATTAACTATTATTGTTATGATTATTAATTATAATAATAATATTGTCATCATCATTATCATAATAATAATTATTGTTGTTATTGGACCTGTATTGTGCACGGGTCGAAGTACCCGTACTATACACGAATCGAGGGGACCCATATCATACACGGGTTGGGTCTGTGACGACCTGCCTACCGGTACCTGCAATCGAATTGTCGAAAACGGGTCGTCATAAACCGTTTTGATCGTCTTCTTCGCCCAGATTGTGAAAACGGGTCTTGCGTCGCCAGATTCGTATACAACAATTTTTGGACGCTTTTTCCTTTTATTAAATCCATTTTTCAATTGTTTATACATGTGTTTACAATATAGAAGTGGTTTGAACTCCTACTTGATGTTTGGAAATGTCTGAAAGTTGGAGGAAAATCTGAACTGCTGAAATAGCTACAGTCGGTGCATCCGAAGCATCCCAATAAGAGATTGCAACCTGGAGGATTTGAAACGTCCTAATAAGAGTTTGGAACATTTGTATATCTGAGATGGGAAGAGACTGCAAATGTTTGAAAGAGAAGAGATTGCAAGCGGTCCTGAGATGTATATCTGAGATGGTTTAAAGATTTGAAACCTGAAACATTTGAGAAAGAAAGAAAGAGGATTAAAAGAGAAAGATTTAAATGACAATTAATCTTGAAGCGCACATAACAGAGGTTTCTTTGTGTTCCCAAAGAAACCTTTGGTTTGGAAGACCAAACATATTAAACCTCTCATCATGGAGGCAGCATAGGTGGGCGAGAGACACTTTGGAAGTCCAAATGTCTCTGCCTTCACATTGATTGTTGCTGGAATAATTACATGGATTTAAAAAAAAAATAAGAAAAAAAAAAAGCAGAAAATTAGAGATTTCAAATCAGCCTCCCAAAGATTGCCCCCACAACGTTGCAAAGTACATCCCCGCCGTGTATTAGAAACATCTCTCGATGATATATCAGAAATGATGATATCATCATTGGGAGATGTTCCTAATACACGGCAGGGATGTGCTGTGCGACATTTGTGGGGGGCAATCTAGTGGGGGCTGATTTGAACTCAAAATTAGAATGAATTTCCTGTAAATAGAATTGATATGGCACATTCGCTTTTAGTATATATAGATGTGTATATGTGTAATTTTTTAAATGGGCTTGGACTAGGGGGACTTTTTCTTTTAATAAAAAGCAAAGCCCAATCCAACCCATGAACAAGTCTACTTAGGACATAAAATGGATCCACTTGGATCAAAGCTCCTATCTGAATAACCCATCTTCGATCTAGCTAGATCCCTCCATATACAATATTCCATTTCACTTGGATCATTCCTCCTAAATAGCCCCTTGTTGATACATACAACAACAAGTGAATTACTCCCGATGATAAAGCATAGTGTGTTGATGGATTTAAATTTTGTGTTCCATTTCCATTCTTAGTAAAATTACTTCTTATTTATTATATTTATTTCTATTTAACATGATAAATATTATATTAGAGATGTGCACAATTTTTTACATTTATTTATATTTTCTGTAATTTTGATTTACATTTATTTTTGTTTTTTTTTATAAAACCAAATGGGGCTACACAAGGCAGGGAATAGCATGTCCCCACAAATCGCTAGAACAAATGAAAGCAAAAGGCAATGGAAGCTTACAGAGATTAGTTGAAACAAAATCTGGGTTAGGCGTCTGAGCTTCTGGGCTCTATGAGCCAACCAATCAGCAGTTTGATTTGCTTCGCGGTAGACATGCCTATGGGTGATACATTCCTCACATTTCTCATTCAGCTCCCAACAATCAAGAATGATCCTCCTAAGGTTCCATGGGGCCGTTGTCACACAGTTAAGGCCAAAGATCACGAGCTTGGAATTGCCTTCAATAACTACAGGGAAATCACTGAAATTCATAACCAAGTTATAGGCTTCCCACGCAGCCCATGCCTCAGCCTTATTAATGGATGTAATACCTAGTTTATAAGCTTTGTAATCCAACACCTTACCAAGATGGTTTCTAGTTAGAGTAGCTATGGTGCACAAGCCCCCCATTCCCACATGATGCATCAAAGTTAATCTTAATTGTTCCAATCTGTTTTCATTATATAATTATGACATGATGGGTTGAACACTCGAACCACTTAAAAAGAAAAACAATGATTTCATTTTGGGGCGGTTTTAATTTTCTTTTCCATTGTCATGATTAATTATAAAATAATATTATATATCAAACATGTGCCTAGAAAATTTGATAGTTGTTTTGTATTTTCAATATTTTATTTTATTTTTAAATTTGTATTATTTAGTATCATGGGTTAACCTGCATGACTTGTATGGTTGAACCACTTATCTGCCACTTGGACAAAGTAGAGCAATTTCATCTAAGTCATTTAAACATGTAGGTTATATATCTTTAAAATTATTGGATATGGATTTAATTAATAAGATTTATTGGTGAGAAGGAAATGAAGGAAAGAATGAAAATTAACATTTTAAATATAAGACTTAATAAGAGGGAATTGAATTAAGTGAAAAGTAGTAGTTTGAATTATATTTTCTGCCCTCATAGTTATATAAGGATCAAATTCAAAAGTAGTGATATTTTAGTCAAGAAAAAGTTCACAAAGCTTATTTATTTAGTATACCTTTATTGGAATTTAATGAGAGGGAACAAGAGTTGATATACCCTTTTTTCATTAACACCTTGAACATGTGATTCAATGAAAAAGAACATATGAATTTAAAATAGTTGTTTAAACTACATTTTGTCCTTACCATAAAGAAGGATTACATTCAAAAATAGGCCTATGGTAGTTAAAGAAAAAGTCTATATATATAGGCCTATGGTAGTTAAAGATAGGGTAAATTGCAATATTGCATATTAGTACCTATACTTTGGGCCTAGTCTCACTTTGGTGCCCAAAATTCAAAATGTGTCAATCTGTACTTGAACTCCCAAAACATTCCAATTTAGTCTTTATTGTTAGTTGTATGTTAGTTATTTGTATCACACGATGATATGTGTGACTTTAAACTTTTAAAAATGTCAAAATTACCCTTTAAAATGATACATTGTTCATCATTTTCTTCCTTAGGAATCAAAATTTAACCAAAGCAATGGTAAACACCCACCGCCAATCCAAAGAGATTTGGGCATTTGGATGGTTGATAAAGAAAACTAAATAACATCTGAAGGGCATTTGCATCTAATGAGGGGTAATTTGGTCTGATCAATCATGTTGTGACATGTGGCCTTTGGGGTGACATATCGACATTGAGTAAGCAAACTAGCTCGGCAAGCCAGCTTGGAACACCTCGTCCAGGCCGGCCTCCACCTCGGTAGGACCAAATTGGTTGACCTCGTAAGATTATGACGACCTGTCCTGGGAGCCAGCTGAGTTGTAGGAGTTTATGGCAACCTGTGAGGAAGAGCCTATTGACCCGGTAGTACTTTACCAAGTCGAGATTCCCGAAGTGCTGATACCTTGACCGTTAGATCGACCTACCGCATTGCACGCCACGGAGTTACTTGGGTAGATTGTAACCTTGTGTGGATCTTGTAACTGTACATTAATGTACTTGAACGAAGCAAAAACGGTTCCGTGAGAAGCTCAGGCCCGTTACAAGAGGGCTCTAACCACTAATGCCTATAAAAGGCATTCACTTCTACCTGAAAAAGGTACGCGTGTGATTATACACTCTCTAGCTCTCTCAAGCTCTCAAAAGATTTCACAAAACCTCTTTAACTTAAGCATCGAAGTGCTCTCCCTAGGTAAAGACAATGGGCACTCTAATTCTCTTATTCTTGCAGTATATATCAGCTCGGCCCTGACTAGGAAATATCCAAATCGGAGTCCGAGTCATCAGACACGAGGGAGCTTCCAGATTGCGTGACATCAACATCCTTTTGCATACCTTAATAATTTTGGAGTAAATGGAAACGTTGTGAGAGTTTAGGTACTAGATTAATATGTTTTGAAATTCAGGTAGTAAAATGAGACTAGGCCCAAAGTATATGATATTAATATACAATCAATATAAATACTTTAAGTTGGAATGTGTAGAAAAGAAGGCAAGAAATGGAATCTAATAGTAAATTTTGCCTTTTTCATTTCAAATTACAAGAATGCCACTCTACCAATTCTCTCTCTTTTGTTTTTTTCCTTTCAAATTACAAGAATACCACTCTTTCCTACCAACTCTCTCTCTCTCTCTCTTTCAAATTACAAGAATGCCACACTCTCTCTTTTGTTTTTTTTCTTACAAATTACAAGAATGTCACTCTCTCCTTATAAGTTACAAGAATGCCACTCTCTCTCCAATAGAGAGAAACCTCAGCTCGACATCTTGGTTGCTAGGGGACCTGCAATCAAAGGTAGTTGAGCAGAGCCTGAGCTCGAGCTCTAATTCGAATCAAGCTTGAACTAGACGACACCTCAACCACTAAGGGAGACCTTGGCTTAGCACCTCGACAACTAAGGGAGACCTTAGCTCGACACCTTGCCTGCTAGGGAAACCTCAACTCGACACTTCATCAGTTGAGGGAGACTTTGGCTTGACACCTTAGTTGCTAGGGAGAACTACAATCATAGGGTGTCTCCTCGGCTCCGACATCCTGGTCATTGAGGTAGATCGACTCAGCACCTCAACAATTGAGGGAGACCTCATGCTCGGCACCTCGACAATTGAGGGAGACCTCATCTTAGCACCTTATCAACTAATAGAAGCCTCAACCTGACACCTCGCCTACTAGGGGAACCTTAGCTCGACCTCGATTTGGCACCTTGGCAGTTGAGGGAGACCTTAACTCGACACTTTGGCTGCTTGAGAGACCTACAATCAAATGTAGCCGAGCTCAAACTTCCAAGTTTTTGACTCGAGCCGAGATCGAGTTCGAACTCAAGTCTTTAATTCGAATCGAGCTTGAGCCTGATAGTTTATGAGCAAGCCCAGCAAAGCATGACCCCCTTTGCTAGTTTACCCTTAAAAGAAGGTATTCATTTTAACTCATAAATGGAAGTTGTAAATTTGTAATTGATGTGGACTAAATTTTTGTGTATGTGTGTTGGTCTTTCTTGCATGGCTAATTGCCTTCTAATTTTCACCCATTCACCTGCTCCATCAAAAACTTAATAAGATAGGCAATTGAATGAACCTACGGTGCTTTTACTTGTGAATGAACGTAGAGTGCAGGAAAAAGTGCAGCACGTCTCGTCTCCCCTCATAACCTTAACCCGCCCAAGGCCCAACCGTGGTGATTGCCTGATTGGTGAAGGCGGGAGTCTCAGCTACACTTTTTGTGAGCGTATACATTGTTTTCGTTAATTCCGCGCTCTTTTATCCATTTATCAGTTAGTTCAGGTAAAATCCCTTGGTGTTTAACAAACTGAATTTTCAATGTCGGTCTGAGTCACAGACAATAGAGAACTAAAACGGAAGAACAGAAGAAAAGAAAACAGAAATTCTAATCACGTCGGGAGATGGCAAAACCAGTCAATCGAGAAAAAGACTGGGAATATCACCTCCAATTGTTATCTATTAGTACCAGAGATTCCTCTTCGGCAAATGACCCTGCTTCCGATTCATCTATCCGTGAATCTGTAAGTTTTTACTCTCAGAAAATTTCGATTCTTCCTTCCTTCTCTAAATAGATTGTTCTCCATATGTATGACCATCTATTTATGGGATTCTTTCAGGTGAAAAATCTCCATGAGATGTGTAAGTCTGAGAAATCGGAGGATTTGATAGCTAGGGTGTATCCGCATATAAACAAGCTTTTTCAACGGTCGGTAGCGTCGTTGTCTCAGTCAAGGACATCTAATGGACTCCTCTTGCTGGTATAATTTCATTTTCTTGGCTATTGCTACTGTCATTGTTGTGTGTAACTGGAATTTGATTCTTTTCTGGCTTGAACTTTTAATGGAAGTATTGAGGGTATAATGATCTTGGATCTACCTTGGACGGTTTTTGCTCGAAGCCTGGTTCAATTTGTTTTGTTTTTTATAAACATGTTGTATGAATTTATTAAGAGAAAACGGTGAAAGGCAAATAATTAGGAAACTGAACCTGGATACTATATGAAATGCCTAGGGCATGATCTAAACAGAGGTTACTAGGGTATACAGCTACATGGGGGACATGATCTAAAGAGAGATTACTTTGTGGACTTATAGAGGATTGCTAAGTAAAGTTTTTATAGTTTCATAAGTTATCACTACATTCTGAAGATTATCCTTTTCCTGCCCTTATTCCATTCTCTATTGGGTGCTTTAATGCCACCAAGAATTAATGCTTTAATTGAGCATGTTGTAATCGGGACTCTCACTTATATGGATATCTAAATTTGTTGTCATGACTCATGACTTATATTGCTTTGATTGTCAGATGGTTTCTCTCTTGAGAAAGGATAAAGTCTCACAACCATGTTGCTTTACTAGTACCCACCATTTAGCTTCCAATTTCTCATATGCTGCAAAGTATGCTATTTCTCTTGATATGGATTTTCCAAAACTCATGCCCAATGTTGTAATTGCCACTCATTTGGAAAAAGCTAGTTATAAAGGTGCTCTTTCTGTTTCATGTTGCTTGCACTTACTGGCTTTGATAAAATCCAGTTCACTATCAGTTTTCTCATCTCCAAACATAACATTCCACAACCCTTCTGATAAAATCCAGTCCACCATCAGCTACCCTTTTGGCAGCATGAATCCTACCCCACTGTTGTGCTCTATCAAGAGCTATGTAATACTTCAGTCTTTGTGTTCATATTGGGTTGGCTAAAGGTTTTTATTTTGGCTGTGAACCTGAAACTTCCTTCCTCCTTTATGGCTTTATCTGGGCTTAGGACTGGCAATGTAAAACATGCTACCATTGGTGGAGTTATGTGATACAGTATTTCTCCTGAAAAAAAATCTACCTATGTTAGTGAATTTTAATTTGATTAGGTAATAATTCTAGTGGAAGAAAGCAAAATCCAATTTAGGCCCTAATGGTAATTGGAAAAAGTTTTGGACTGAAAAGTATCTCATAAGTTCTTTCTTGAAAAATAAAGTTTCCTTATTTGGATATGTGTAGATCTAGTTTGGGGTATTTTGATTAAAGTAACTCGAAGGCCTTAAGTCCTGCTATCATTTTTAGCTACTATGTTTTTATCAACCATGATAGCTTAGCTTTGATCAATTTCTGTAAGGTTTATGTTTCACCAAGTATTGTTTTTTTTTGTTTTTTTTTTTTTCTAAACTATGTAGAAGTTTATGTAGTTCTATTTCATATACCTTGACTCTTTGTCTTACTTTTGGCTTTCATAGCTCATTTAATGGAAGGGGTATTGGTTCCACTATCCTTTTCTTTCTCATTTTGTCTTATGTATGGTTTCTCTTTTTATAGTCTAATTGTTTAAGGGATAATCCTTCTTAACACTGTTTCTGCCATACTAAATTTTGATTCGTTCTCACAGCCATGTTTATCAAGTTTTGACCAAGTACTGTCATTTAAAGTTGTGTCTTTTGGTTGCTTGCTTAAATTTCTTTATTTTGGCTCCTATTTTTACGATTTATGTTAATTTAATCAATAATTCTAATTTATTTATATTGCCTATTAGGCCATTCTTCAATTTTTTCTTGACTTTGGGGAGGTGATCCTGCATGATGCTGATCCTAGCCTAAGGACTTTTTTCCGTTCATGTTTAAGCCGGTAATGATACTAAAACATTTTAACAAATTTCCTTGAATGCTTTATCGTTTAAACTGATTGAATTAAAACATCCATCTATATTATGTGCATGCTTGTTGACTTGCAGCTTGGATACATCAAGAGTGAATTACATCAAGTTGAATCTTTTCTTTCACATATAAATAGAAGCTAACATTTCGTTAAGGATGGTATTGGAGAGGTTATTGGCTCTACATGGTTGATAAAATGTGTGTAGCTGAAATGCGATATTGAGATGGATGAGTGGGAAAACCAGAAAGGATAGGATCAGAAATGAACTTATTTGAATGAAATTATGAGTAGCTCCAATAGGTGATAAAATGAAGGAAAGTATACTAAGATGGTTTAGCCACGTACAGAGAAGGCCATCTACAGCACCAGAAAGAAGAATGATCTATTACTAGGGCTGTCAACGGACTCCAAAAGTTCAATACCCAACTCAACATCCGATCTGATTATCCTAGATTTGGATGTTAAAACTTGCATTTTATTAATAATAGGATCAAATGCGGATTTAACGCCATATAACCCAATTAAAATCCAAGTCCATTTAAATATTATAATATATGTAATATAAATATATAATTATGTATATGTTGACATTATATATACAATTATATAAAGTTAATGACTAATTGAATAATTTATATTATATAAATTTATTATGCATGTAACTCTTTTTGAGAAAGGTAAAGTATAATTGGACTTGGATTAAATCCGAATCTGACCTGAGTCTGACATATTGGATTTTGGTTTGGATTTAGATTTATCCGGATCCATTCCAAATCATCTGACCTGATTACAGGGCCCTATCTACTATAAGTTGAAGGGGCTAGAAGAGCTAAGGGCAGACCAAAAAGGACATGTGTTGGAACAGTGAGAAATTTTGTAAGGGTCCATTGTTTAACAATGGATATGGCACTGAATGGAACAGAATGTCAGAACAGGATTCATGTAGCTGCCCCTATATAGTCTGATCAAGGCTTAGATGATGATGATGATTTAAGGGTCCATTTTTTAAGAATGGATATGTCACTTAATGGAATGGAATGGTGGAACAGGATTCATGTAGCTAACCCCATATAGTTAGGTCAAGGCTTAGATTCTGATGAATATGATTGTCTTTATATGGTAAGAAGGTAGGTCTTAGATAATATATGATTATGGTGGAAAGAGATTGTATTGGAGATTAGATATGGTAGTAGGTGCAAGCAAACTTTATAAAATATTTAGTTCTCTGGCCTTTTTATTTTGTAAAGACATAAATTTATATATGTGTACCAGGTTAACCTTCAAGAGAAGAAAGGAGGGTGGGGCAGTCTATGGTATAAGTATATATCAACTTCACTCAAGAAAATACATATTATGCATTTAGGCTAGCCAAAAAAATATTATGCTAAACTAATCAATCAAATAATATTTATATGCCTTTTGGAACCAATGTTGTGTAACCTTTTCAGGATTTCCTACTAACCATTGTTCTTTGTAATTTTCTTAAGTAAACAGAGATCTCATGATCCATATAAAAAAGCAGTTATTTAGTCTCATTGGAAAGGGGACTGCAATCTGGTCAGAGTCATTCCATACTTCAAGGTCTAAGACTAGGTTCCTCTTTGGATTGTTCAAGTTTGAAAGTAGAAGGGGATTCACTGGTGGTGATAGGTTGGTTAAGGGGAGGAAAGGAGGTTTCTTTGATGCACAGACGTGCTGTTAGGGATGCTAGATTCTTGTCTAACAGCATGGAAACCTGCTTCAGATAGGTCAGAATATCTTCTAATGCAATAGCAGATCAACTTGCCATGGGGGGTAGTTGGACACTGTTATACTAGGTAGTTGAACCAGTGTGGTGTGGGTTCCCCTGCTGGTGGGCAGAATCAAAATGAACTTTTGATGGTTGCAGCCTTGGTAATCATGGGGAGTCAGGTTTCAATGACATGTTCAGAAGCCATCCAGGGGATGTAATGCTTTCTTTCTCTGGACCTATTGGTGTTGGGTATTCCATCATGGCCGAATTATTAGCTTCAATGCAAGGTTTGGAACTAGTAAACACAGCAGGCTACTCAAGATTACTAGTAGAAGGGGACTCAAGATCAATTATAAGCTGGCTAAGGGGTGAATCAGAAGGACCATGCACTCTAAAGCACATGATTAAGGAATCAAGACAGCTATGCCACAAGAGCTGCAGTCTTATGGTCAGTTTGGGAGGAAAGAAACAATAGAATCTTTCAAGAAAAAAGTAAATCGAGGGAGGACTTGATTGATTGCATCACTGTCAAGATAGTGCATTGGGTAAAATCTGATGAGTTATTTAAGGAATTCACAGTGGATGATATAAACAGGGGCTGGAATACAGTAGCAAACTCTTCAAGATATAGCCCAACAATTCAAGAGAGTTGGGCAGCCTCTACACAACAAAAAACAAATTTCAGTTTTGATGGAAGCTCCCTTGGTAACCTGGGGCCCTCAGGTGTAGGGGGAGTCTTTAGAGACAGGGCAGGCAGAATTCTAGCTCTATTTTCAGGTCTATAGGAGTGGGTGATTCATTAAGAGCTGAAGTATTAGCACTGCCTGAAGGTCTGAGACTGGCTAAACAGATGGGACTACAACAGATTGAAGTAGAAGGGGATTCAAGATTAGTAATAGACTGGATGAAATCTGGAAGTTTGGGAATCTGGAACCACAGGCAAGTTATGAGAGAAGTCTGGTGCCTTGCAAGGGAAATTGGAGCAAACTTCCAATGGGTTAGAAAAACAGCAAGTGGGGTGGCTGATACTCTAGCCAAACAAGGATCAAAGAGGAGTGAACTTTTCTGGGATGCTTTGTAACAGTGGCTATGAATGTGGGTCAGGAGTTGTAATTATCTTGTTTAACTTCTTAATTTGTTAATGAAAGTGACCATTTCATATCAAAAAAAAAAAAAAAGAAAAAAGAAAAAGAAAGCTAGACAGATATGCTAAAGAGTACAAGCAAAAATTTCTTGGATCCCAAGGTATGCCAACTCTTTGGAAGATTCCCTTGCTCATGAAGGGGTAGGTGGACAGCAACTATGGTGGATGAATACTCTTTGGGTTAATATTATCCTATGTATGGGGTTCTTACCACTAGTTTGTGTTTCTTCTCAAAGTTGTTAAATTACCTCATCTATAAAAAGAGTTATTGAATTACCTCCTAGAAAGGTGCAATAACTCGTAGTGGTAAATTACCTTTCCAGGATGTGAGAATGCACATTCTGGCCAAGAATGCCAACAACAGGGAGCTTGATTGTTTCGCTTCAAAATGTGATGCTAAAAGCTTCTTCAAATTCTGAAAATGACTCCCAACTCCTTGTAATAACAATGCCATCCACAGATCTGAGGGCATTCTCTATGGGAAGAAAGAAACTCTAGGATATTCTCAGAAACTCAGAGAGGAACAGAAGATTTGAGGGCTATCATACATTTTAGGGCGGTACAGTGGCTGAAATCTTTGGAAATATTCACAGATTACACTGTGGATGACATGTTGAGGAAGTGGGGTG